CCGGGGCCGGATTTCGGTTCGGGCCTGCTGGTAGAACTTCCCGTTGCCCTCGATGAAGCCGGTCTTCAAGGCGTCGACGATCATGGGCGCGGCCTCGTCGAACCGCTCCCGAGACTCATCCATGCTGATGCCGAAGGCTTCGAACTCGCGCCGTGCCAGGCCTCGGCCGAAGCCCAGCCGCAGCCGGCCGTTGCTCAACAGGTCCAGAGTGGCGGCGTTTTCCGCAACGCGGAGCGGGTTGTGCCACGGGAGTATCACGGCGGCCGTCCCGACGTCGATGTTGGGATGCCTGGCCGCAACGTGGGTCATGAGCTGGAGATTGTCCGGCACGAAGGAATAATCGTTGAAATGGTGCTCCGCCGACCAGAGGCACTCGAAACCCTCGTCAGCCGCCATCTCAGCCAGACGCAGCTCTTCCTCCCACATCTGGCCGTCCGAGCCTTCATCCCAGCCGTAGCTGGAGAAGATCATCATCATTCCGACATCCATCCGATTACTCCTTGCAGTTGGTCCAGGCGCGGTGTGCTCGCTCAAACGGCTCTAGAAAGCCGGTTTGACGGGAAATGGCGTCAGCTGGAGTTCGTGGGTCCAGCAGGACTTGTCCTGGGTGTACAGGTAGTAGAAGGCCTCCGCGATCTTGACGGGGTTGATCAGCAGGTCCGGGTTCTCCTGCGCGCGCGGGGTGGCGCGGGTGCCCGGGGAGTCGATGTGCCGTCCGATGATGACGTTGGCGACGTGCACGCCGTGCTCGGAGTATTCCTCCGTCAACACCTGCGCCAGCGTTCGCATCATCACCCGGGATAGTAGAGCGACTGGCCGGTGTACCGCTTCCGGCCCCCGCACGACGACGGGTTGTTGGAGATGAGGATGGTGCCCTCGCCGCGCTCCCGCATGGCGGGCAAGACTTCCTTGGCGACGAGGAAAGGCCCGCTGCTGGAGATGTGCTGCGCGGTCTCGAATACCTCGATGGGGGTGTTCTCCAGCAGTTTCCATTTCGGCGGAAGGTCGCGCACCGTCGATGTAACCGCGTTGTAGACCAGGACGTCGGGGTCGCCGGCCTCTTCCCGGATCTGCGCGAAGGCGTCAGAGATGGATTCGGGCAGCGACAGGTCAAGCTCCACGATTGTGCTGTCTCCGCCCTGCTCGTTGATGGCAGCTTGCAGCGGCGCCGCGTTGGAAGCATTACGGGTGGTCAGCACTGTCAGGAATCCTTCCTGGGCGAATTTCTGGGCAACGGCGCCGCCGACTCCCCAGCGCACGCCGACGGGCAATTCGCTGTCATCGAGCTCGCCGCCGTGGACCAGTTGGGTGTTGCGGCCATCAGACTGCCACTTGGATGTCGCGCCGATGACGACGGCGACCGGTTTTCGATTTGCGTTCATGTCGTATTCCTTTCGTACTGATGTGGACTGCTTCACCTGGCAGGCATGTGGATCTCCGATGAGCAGCCGTCCGATGTCGGGAGCGGCCGCGCCGATACAACGAGGCGGCGGATCGTAGGATCCGTACCGGGGTTACTGTACTACAAACTTTCGGGGCAACGGTAATTTTGGAGAAGGGTGGAGCGCCGGCGGCTCGGCACGGTGTTGCGCTGCCCCAAGATCGGCCTAGAATGTTGCATCCGAAGCATACCGGAAGGAGCGTTGTGATGGCATTCAAGCTCGTTATCTGCCCACCCAACTACCAGGAGCACTGGCCGCAGAGGCTCCAGGAGGAAATTCCGGACATCGACGTTCACCTGTGCCCGACGGTGGGCGAGGCGATGGAGGTCATTGGCGACGCGGACGCCGCCTTCGGCGACATCGTGCCCGAATTGCTGGAACGGGCGGACAACCTGAAGTGGATAGCCTGTCCGCAGGCCGGACCGCGCGCCGGCTATTACCACGATTCGTTGATCGCCAGCGACATCGTGGTCACCAACACGCGGGAGATTTACAACGACCACATCAGCGCCCACATCATGTCCCTGCTGCTGGCCTTCGCCCGGGGCTTGCAGGTGTATATCCCCCAGCAGGTTGCGGGCGTCTGGCAGCAGGGATACCCGACCATCTACCTGCCGGAAGCCACCGTCGCAATCGTGGGCGTCGGCGGCATCGGCGGCGAAACCGCCCGGCTGTGCTCCGAGTTCGGGATGACCGTGCTTGGGGTAGATCCCCGGCTGTCGGCGCCGTCCGCCGGCGTTGCGGAGCTACACCGCCCGGATGACCTGCTGGAAGTGCTGCCCCGGGCCGACTTCGTGATCGCAACCGTGCCGGAGACGCCGGAGACGCAGGGCATGTTCGGGTCCGCGCAGTTTCAGGCGATGAAGAACACCGGGTTCTTCATCAACATCGGGCGCGGGGCCACGACGATTTTGGACGACCTGGTGGAGGCGTTGCGGGCGGGGGAGCTTGCCGGAGCCGGCCTGGATGTCTTCCAGGTTGAACCGCTCCCGGCGGGGCACCCTCTGTGGAGCATGCCTGGCGTGCTCATAACACCGCACGTGGCGGGCAACGGCCCCTACCTGGACGACCGGCGCACCGAGCTGTTCATCGACAACTGCAAACGCTTCAACGAGGGAAGGGAACTGCTCAACGTGGTGGACAAAGCCAACTGGTTCTAACACGGAACGACGGGCCGGCATGAGGTGTGGCGTCGAGGCTGGGGGGTCGGGTGACCCGGCAACGGCAACGATTGCAACGCGGGTACCTCGCTCACGGGTGCCCACTTTGTTATCGCGGGGGCGCAGCGGCGTGGCGATCTTGTTGAATTGAGCGAAGAGCCCTCCGGCGACGGGATTGCCGCGCTGCGCTCGCAATGACGGGTGAGGTCGCTTGCAATGACCTGTGGGTTGCTCGCTATGACCGACGGGTCGCTCGCAGTTACCGGGTGGTTGCTCGCTAAGATCGGGAGGGGCGCCCGCTATGACCGATTGTGCAAAGTGGGTACGGGTGAGGGGTACCTGGCGTAAGTTGGAGGACGCAGCATCGGTTTTGCGTGGTCGACTGCGTCAGCCGAACGGTGTCCGGACAGGGTTGGTCAGTCTTGCCGGCGCTCCTCGCGCATGGTGATGAGGGCCAGCGGGATCGACGAGACCGCTACCAGCAGGAGGGCCGGCGCCGCCGCGCGCGCGAAGAACGCTTCCTCCGCTGCGGCCCAGATGGAGGACGCCAGGGTGGTGAATCCTATGGGGCTGAGGATCAGCGTCGCGGGCAGTTCCTTCATGGTCAGGAGGAAAACGAGGGCCGCGCCCGTCAGAATCCGGGCCGTATGAGCGGCAGCGTGACGGAGAACAGGACCGACAATGGGCGCTTGCCCAGGCTGCGCGCCGCGTCCTCAAACTCGGGTCGCACCTGCAGCAGCGAGGTCCGCAGGGAGCCCACCGCTGCCGGCAGGAACAACGTCACGTAGGCCACGGCCAGTATCGCCAACGACTGGTAGAGCCACGGGGCATAGTTGGCGCCGAAATACACCAACCCCAACGCGATAACGATGCCGGGCAAGGCGAAACCGACGAATCCCAGGCGCTCCAGCCACCGGCTGAACAGGCCCGGATAACGCACCGTAAGCACGGCGATGGGCGCAGCGCACAATACTGTGAGCACCGCGGCCAACACTGAGACTCCCACGGAGTTGGCCGCCGCCCGCCACAGCAGCAGCAGCGGTTCGCCGGCCGCCACGCCGCGCACCGTCCAATATGCCAGCACCGCCACCGGCGACAGGACTGACACGGCCACCACGGTTCCGCAATATGCCAGGGCGGGCCAGCGCCAACGCCCGAGGGGTATCGGTTCGGGCAACCGCGTTGCGCCGCCACGGCTGCGGAAATACCGACCGCCTACGGCGTTTCGCGCAGTGTTCTCACCCCAGACCACCGCCAGCGCCAGCGCTATAAGCGCCAGCGACCAGGCGGCGGCCAGGGTACGGTCGAGCGCGGCGCCATACTGGATGAAGATGCTCCAGGTGAAGGTCTCATAGCGCATGATGGCGACGGCGCCGAAGTCGCTGAGGGCGTAGAGGGCCGTGAGCAATCCGCCCGCGAATATGGCCGGCCTCAGCATGGGGAGCGTGACGCTCCAGAAGGTCTGCCAGCGGTCTCTACCCAAAATCCTGGCCGACTCGTCCAGCGAGACATCCATGTTCCAGAGCGCAGCGCGCACCGGCAGGAGCACGTAGGGGAAGCTGATGATTATCAGGGTGAACGCCGCGCCGGGAAAACCGTAGATGCTGGGGATGCGTTCCACGCCGAACCCCGCTTCCAACCAGCCCTGGAGGATGCCACGAGGACCCAGGCCCACCGCTATCGTGAAGCCCACGATGTAGGACGGCAGCGCCAGCGGCAACATGGTCGCAACGCGCCAAAAACCTCGCCCCGGCAGGTCCGTGCGTACCGTGAGCCAGGCCAGGGGAGCCGAGATGAGGATGCAGCCCAGCATCACCGTCGCCATGAGAGCCACGGTGCGGCCGATCACCCAGAGCGTGCGAGGGCGGAAGATCAGATCTATGGCGTCCCAACCGGCGCCAACCGTGCGCAACGCTAGGTAGACCGGGGCGATCAGCAGCAATGCGGCGACCACCAGCGCCGGCACCCATAGGACGGAGGGCGGACGAACCGTGCCCTCAAAGAGGCGGTTCCCGGTGAGCCGGGGAACTGATGATACCAGCTCGGCTACGGCGGACATTGGCAGCCTACATCAGGCGGGAAGGAGTTCTGTGTCGATGAACGGCGGGAAGGACTATGGAACCGAAACACTCTCAACGCGGGGTTGCGGTCGCCCCGAATTATACACCGGCAGCCCTGGCCTCAACCTCCGGAGGGTTGTCAGCGTGCGGCGGGACCACTCCGTATCGCGCCGATGCCAAGGCGATTGACAGGACATACGGTCGAGCGCAGAATGGCCCAAATTTGGGGTGGTTTGTCGCCCCTTCCGCTGTTGTCCGTACCGGAATACTCTCATGTATTCCACGTTGCCGATGTATTCCACGTTGGAGGAGGTCCCCACATGGCGTTTCCCGAAAGAATGAAATTTGGCGTTTTCCTCGGCCCGTTTCACCGCGTCGGAGAGAACCCGACCCTGGCCATCGAGCGCGACCTCGAGCTGGTGGAATGGTTGGACAAGCTGGGGTTCGACGAGGCGTGGATCGGCGAGCATCACAGCGCCGGCTGGGAGATCATTTCGTCGCCGGAGGTGTTCATCGCCGCCGCCGCCCAGAGGACCAATCGCATCAAGTTGGGAACCGGCGTGGTCAGCCTGCCCTATCACCACCCGTTGATGGTAGCCAACCGCATGGTGCAACTGGACCACATGACCTACGGGCGGGTGCTCTTCGGCGTGGGGCCCGGGGCGCTGCCCGGCGACGCGTACATGATGGGCATTCCCCACGAACTGCAACGCGAGCGCATGGACGAGTCGCTGGGCATCATCCTGCGCCTCTTCACCGAGACGGAGCCGATCACCTACCAGAGCGACTGGTTCGAATTGAAGGAAGGGTTGCTCCAGCTACGGCCGTACCAGCGCCCGTACATGCACACCGCCGTGGCATCGGTACAGTCTCCGGCCGGCGTGACCCTGGCCGGCAAACACGGGTGCTCGGTCCTGACCATCACGGTACCCCGGGACCCGTCCGCCGGCCCCTCCGACCTGCAGGGACTTTGGAGCATCGCTGAAGAATCGGCGGCCGAACACGGCAACACCATGAACCGCGACGACTGGCGGTTGGTATTGCCCTGCCATTTGGCCGAGACCCGCAAGGAAGCGCTGGACGACGCCCGCATGGGAGCCGGCCGTTACCTGCGGGAATATAGCGAAGGAACCAACGGACGGAAGGCGGTTTTCGACGGCCCGCTGGACAAGGTTATCGACCACATGGCCGATACCGGCAGCTGGATCATTGGCACCCCCGACGACTGCATCGAAGCGCTGGAAAGGCTGGGAGAGCAGAGCGGCGGCTTTGGCGCGTTCCTCGTCCAGACCATCGACTGGGCGCCCCGGGAAAAAATGCTCCGGAGCTACGAACTGATGGCGCGCTACGTGATGCCCCATTTCCAGGGCAGCGTACTCGGCACCGCGGCCTCAAACCAGTGGGCGGCAGATCGTCAGGACGAACTGGTCAGCGGACGGGTTCGCGCCATCGACCGCGCCCGGCAGGCGTACGCCGACCGCGCCGGGTAAGGTAGCGCAGGCTGCCGAAGGTGAGCGAATTGGGCTAGAAACGATGGCCGGAACATGCGGAAGGTGGGTTCAGGTATCCGTAAGGCGGTTACATATGTCTTCATGATACCCGCTACAGTCTCCTGGGTCGGGGTTGGCGCTGTGCCGTGGGGCATAATTCCGTTGTTGAATCCGGAGGTAGACTCCATGAGGTCAAGGGGCGGCGGCGTTTTGCTCATGCCAGTCGTGATCTTGGGCATAGTATTTGCGTTCGTTGGAGCGGGGGTATATTACGTGGTTGGGAGCAAAGTCATCAGTTTCCTGCGGCTATGGGACGAAGACCTGGGCTAGTGTGGTGTAGCTGAAGTTAGCAGTAATAATATCGACGATGAGATATCCTCCCACTGCATCGGCAATGAGGAGGATGAACATGGTCATGGGGCGACCGATGCCACCGCTGATATTGGACGATGTGGAGCGGGAAACGCTGGAGCGGTGGGTGCGTCGTCCGAAGACGGCGCAAGCGTTGGCGCTGCGGGCCAGGATGATTTTGGGCTGCGCCGAAGGCCGCAGCAACATCGCGGTGGCTGCCGACTTGGGAGTATCGGATGCAACGGTGGGCAAATGGCGTGCGCGGTTCTTGGAGCGGAGTTTGGATGGCCTGTCGGATGAACCCCGCAGCGGTCGGCCCCGAGCAGTTACCGATGATGATGTGGAACGGGTGATTATGCTGACGTTGGAGACAACACCCCAGGACGCCACCCACTGGAGCACTCGGTCCATGTCCCAGCGGTCCGGCCTGAGCCACAACACCGTCAGCCGCATCTGGCGGGCCTTCGGATTACAACCCCACCGCACCGAAGCCTTCAAGCTGTCGTCGGACCCCTTCTTCATAGAGAAGGTGCGCGATATTGGAGAAGGTGCGCGATATCGTGGGGCTTTATCTAGACCCGCCGGACCGGGCGTTGGTCCTGTGCGTGGACGAGAAGTCCTAGATCCAGGCTTTGGACCGAACCAGGCCGCTGTTGCCAATGCGCCCCGGACCGGCGGAACGGCGCGCCCATGATTACCTGCGCCACGGCACCACGTCGTTGTTCGCCGCCCTGGATACCAAAACCGGCAAGGTGATTGGACGCTGCCACCGCTGCCACCGGGCGGTGGAGTTCCGCAAGTTCCTCGATACCATCGAGGCGGAGGTGCCCGCCGGTCTCGACGTCCACCTGATTGTGGACAACTACGCCACTCACAAGACGGCGCTGATCCGGAACTGGTTGGCCAAGCGGCCGCGGTTCCACCTGCACTTCACGCCGACCAGCGCGTCCTGGCTGAACCTGGTGGAGCGCTGGTTTGCGCTGCTCACGGAGAAGCAACTGCGCCGAGGGGTGCATCAGAGCAGTGGGGAACTGGAAGCCGCCATCTACCGCTACCTTGACCTTACCAACGAAAACCCCAAGCCCTTTGTCTGGACCAAGACCGCCGAACAGATCTTGGCCAACGTGGCCCGCTTTTGCCAGCGTACTTTGGATACATGACACTAGGCTGCGTCTAGTACCGGCGACTCATACAGCTTTAAAATAACCTGATCGAATAGCGCTATTGGCTCGCCGGCGTGAGTAACTCTTGCCATCCTCTAGGTTGCGTGGCAATCTTGTTGGCCGGTATTGGATATGGAGGACACCCAACAGCGCAACGCGCCGCTTATCGTCGTTGGCCTGGGGAACCCCGGGCCGCGGTATCGTGATACGCGGCATAACGTTGGGTTCGGGTGTGTGGACTTGCTGGCCGAGCGGTGGGGAATCGCGGTCAAAGACAGGCGGCGGACTACCGTTTTGGGGCAAGGGTATCGGGACGGCACGGCGGTGGTGCTGGCCAAGCCGCGCACCTTTATGAACCTCTCCGGCGAGTCGGTAGGCTACCTGCTGGCGCGGTTCGGCGGAAAGGCGGCAGACCTGGTGATCGTGTACGACGAGATGGCGCTGCCGCTGGGGCGCATCCGCCTGCGGGCCCGCGGCTCGGACGCCGGACACAACGGGATTAAGGACATCATCCGTACCGTCCACACCGTCGACTTCCCCCGTTTGCGCATCGGCATCGGCGGGCCGGGCATGTCGGGCAGCGTCGATCACGTTCTGGGGCGGTTTTCGGACGAGGAACAGCCCGCGGTGAAAGCGTCCATCGAGCGCGCCGCTGATGCGGTGGAGTGCCTCCTGACCGACGGGATCAACATCGCGATGAACCGGTACAACACCGATCCGCAGACCGACCCGCCGGCGTAGAGTCGGTACGGGATTAGGAACGCATCGGGAGACCGACAGTCGGCAACCACCCGCATGGGGCGAACCGCGATGGGCATACAGCGACTCTTGATCGGCGCGGCGGTGGCCGCGTTTTTGTTGATCGTATTGGCCTGCGAATCGGGTCCTCGGGGGTCGGCAACGGCTGTCCCGCAACCCACGGTCAGCAGGACTACCCACCCGTCGACCCCGGTGGCCGGTACGGAGACCCCATCGACGCCGACAATCTCCACCGCGCCCCCGGCAGGAAGCACCCCTCATCCTCCGCTACCCGCGACGGTGACCGCTACAAATTCAGGGGTGTCGCCCGATCCGATGGTCGCCGCCGATTTCCCCACTCCGCCGGAACGCGACCTGCTGGAACTCGCGCGGCAGCTGCGGTGGAACGGAGTGGAACCGGACCCGGAGCCGGCACGTTTCGCGGGCCAGTCGCTGGCCGTGGGGGCCACCACGGATTTCTGGACGTTGGACTACCCCCGCGACAAGATGGTGAGCAATGAGTTCGTCCTCGCCGCAGTGTCCGAACACGCCTACTGGTGGATCGAGCAGGGATTGAAGGTGGACGATGATGACCTGCAACGGACAGTTAAGGAGGCCGAGGCCGAGGTATATCCCGGGGTAACCGCCGTGTTCGGGTCCGCCCCTGGATCCGCCGCGGACCCGCAGCGGGGTCATATCATCAACGGGCGGATACCGGGCGTCGGCGGCTACGTGTCGGGCGCGGACCCGTATCCGGCGTCGGTGCAGCCCTTCAGCAACAGGGTGCCAGCCATCTACATCAACGCTCGGGATATCCCCCTGGGCAGCCGGGAGTACCTCACCGTGCTGGCCCACGAGTTGCAGCACGCCATCCACTGGCAGGCCGACCCCACGGAGGAGACCTGGCTCAACGAGGGGCTGTCGGAGCTGGCCGTAACCGAAGCCGGCTACTCCCCGGGCAGCATGCGGTACTACCTGCAACAGCCCAACGCGTCGTTGGTCAATTGGCCGAACGACCTTGACGGCGATATCGGCCTCAACTATGGCGCGGCCTCCCTGTTCGCCCACTACCTTCGGGAGCGTTACGCGCCGGAAGGCGGGTTGCACGACCTGCTGGCTGGGGAGAGCAACGGCATCGCCGCCGTCGACGCGTTCCTCATGGAGAGAGGCGCCGAAACCGAATCGGGCGATACCGCCGATTTTCGGACGGCCTTCGCCGACTGGATGGTCGCCAACCTGCTCGACCACGACGATGGCCGTTTCGGATACGCTGAGCTGGACCTGGAGGCCGAAATCTCCTGGACCCAGCGCGTGAATGACGACGGGGCGCGCGCGTCTTTGTCCCAGTATGGTATCGCCTACATCGAACTGGAGGACGCGGCGGGCGAGGTGACGGTCCGCTTCGAAGGCGATGGCGTCACTCCGTTGTTGCCCACAGAGGCGCCCGAGGGCGGTTGCTGGTGGACCAACCGAGGGGACAACGTATCATCCACGTTGACACGACGGATGATGGCGCCATCGACGGTTTCGGGAGGCGAACAACCCGCGCTCACTTTCGATCTCTGGTACGACATCGAAGAGGACTGGGACTACCTCTATTTGGAAGTCTCAACCGATATGGGCTCGACGTGGGATGTGCTGCCGGCCGACGGTACCACTGACGCCAATCCTCTGGGCAACAGCTATGGCCACGGCTACACGGGCGCCGGCGATTGGCGGGAGGTGACGGTGCCGCTGTCGGATTACGCGGGCCTCGACGCTTTGGTGCGGTTCCACTACGTGACGGACGACGCCATTCACGGCATCGGCGCCTGCGTCCGAGGCATGACCTTCTCGTGGGATGCTGACGCCTCGATCGGTTCGAGTTGGACGGCGGACGGATTTGTGGAGGTCAACAATCGTGTCCGGCAGGACTGGATCGTTTGGGTGATCCGGGACGTCGCGCAGCCGGAAGCGATCCCAATGCAATTGGAATGGGACGCCGACAACCAACGGTATGCCGGGCACGTGGTCCAGCGGCCGGTCGGCGATGGCGGCCGGTTGGTCGTGGCGGTATCCCCGGTGGCCCCCGCCACGATGCAGCCGGCCCGCTATCGGGTCTGGGCTAACGAAGGAGTGTGGGGTCCGCCGAGCCGGTCAGGGCCTTCGTGAGCAGGCATTCGGCGAACTCCCGCAGGCCGCCGGAACGATCACAGGCGAAACACCGCCACGTGACCTGAGGCAGCGATACCTGCAATGATCCGGCGGCGGCGCAGAATGGACAGGCCGCCGCCAGCTTCTGGCGCTGCGGCGTCGTTGCCCCCAACGCGGTTTAGGGTTGTGAAGGCTCCAATCAGTGTAGGAGTCGCCCCGGCGCACGGGACCGGTTGGGTCGTCGCCCATGCCGCGGCAGTCGCGCCGTCGCAACTCGGTCAGCAGCGCGGGCGCTATCGAGGCCGTCTGCGCTGCAATCCGTTGTTCTCTGCTTGACGGTTGCCGCCCCGTGCCGTCGGCCCGGCCAGGGCCACGGTCAGGGTGTACAAGCCGGGGCCGCTCAGAACGGACACGCCGGCTGTCAGGTTACCGTCGGATGCGGCCCACAAGTGATCCACAAATACTTGCAGGCGGTCGTCGGTGTACTCCGGGAACGACGCCGCCGGCCATTCCGTCGGCCCCGCGTTCTCCCCGGCTAGAAACAGGAAACTGTCGGTCGGGAGCGAACTGACCACAATAAGCAGGACCCCCGGTGAGTGTTGATTCCACAATACGGAATCCCTCGCCGGGGGCGCAATGACCTGATGTCAGCAGATCCGTGTCTCGATGGGATCTCCCGGATTGGCGGCAATCCGGCGTCTATCCATTGGTTGCGCCGGTGGCCCACGACTTGATCAGGTGATGGGCGATGGCGATCGGCCCCGGCACCGTCAACTCCTCGCTGCGGCCGTCCAGGGCCAGCAGCACCTCCGACCGGTCGAACCAGCGGACGTCGGTCATCTCCTCATCGTCCATGTTGATGTCGGTGGTATCGGCCTCAGCCAAACAGCCGATCATCAGCGAGGACGGGAAGGGCCACGGCTGGGACGAGTGGTAGCGCACGTTTTTCACCCGGATGCCGGCCTCCTCCATCACCTCCCGGGCCACGGCCTCCTCGATGGCTTCGCCCTGGTCCATGAAGCCCGCCAGCGCCGAGAATGCCCGCATGCGCTGCAAGCGTCCTCGAGATTGCCCGAGGAGGCACCGGTCCCGTTCGACGTCCGCGACGACGGTGATAACCACCGGGTCGGTGCGCGGGAAGTGCTGGGCGTTGCAGCCCGGGCATTGGCGCGACTGTCCGCCGCGCTTCTTTTCCGTGGGGTGACCGCAAACGGAGCAGAACCCGTGGCGCAGGTTCCAGTCCAGCTGCGCCCGGGCGTGGGACAGCAGGCCGGTGTTGGGGCCGGACATGGTCTCGCCGGCGGTGCGGCAGTCCTCGAAGCGCCAGCCCGTCTCCGCCTCCACGCGGTCAGCCGTATTGGCGGACTTCGACAGGTCCACCGAGAAGTGCGCCACCCCGTCCAGAAGGCCGAGAAAGATCCATACGGCTTCCGGCGGCAATGATCGCAATATGGCGGGGCTGAGCCAGCCCAGCTCGGGCGGAGTCTGATCGGTCAGGAGCACGTTGAGGTTGCGGAAGGGCAGGAACCTGCTGGCCGGATCCTCGGCCTGTTGGAGTATCCAGTCCTCGTCGCGGCGCTCGGTTTCGCCGCGATTGATCGGGTTGTCGGCAAATATGTGGGGTGGGTAGGTCATCTAACATTCCCCCGGCAGTTCATGTTCGGGTCGTCGCGACGGATGCGCGACGGTTCATGCAGCGTTTTATAACCCAAGCTGGCCGAGGCGACAAGGAGGGACATCGGGCGGCGTGGCACCGGTCCAGTCGGCAAAGCATTCAGCCAACCTACCCTGAGTCGGTATGGTTGGCCTTGCTCCGCTTACGCCCCCGTGGTTCCTTGGTCCAACGTGTGTGCCGGCGCACTTGCGGAGACCACCGGGTGAGGATGTATGAGCGCACTACGGATTCGACTAAACCAGGCTAGCCTGTTGCCCTTGAGACCCACGGACTCGCTGGGCCGGTTGATAGGATGGCGATCGCGGGGGCAATTGGAACCCATTGCCGGCCAGCATGTCGCCAATGGTACGGAGCTGAATTTTGGGGAAATCCCGGTCCCAAAGCTCGGAGTGGTAGATACCCCCGCTAGAAGCTTCCCGCTGCATTTCGCGCGTGAACGGTTCGAGCGAGATGAACAGTCCCAGGGCCGCTTGTTCCCGCTCGACCACTCCTTTCAGGTCACGTACCTGAGATGGTGATACTCGACCACCCTTGATCTGAATAACAACCTTATGGGGTGTCCGCCTCCGCCCGTCAATGAAATACAGCAGACCATCAATACCCCGGTCGGCACCGCGGCGTTGTGCCGATTTGGGCTGCGCTTCCAGAAGGGATACTGCCCAGAATTGGAACTGATATGGGTCCTGTTCCCAAAGCGCCCGGGCGCTGCCCTCGTCCAGGGGCTCACCTACCACGTCGTAATCGGTGCCTGCATCCAGGTCAAAAGCCGTCTTGAGGCGGTTCTTCATCAAGGCAACGGCCAAGTGAGTGATATCGATGCCCTGCCACTGCCTCCCCAGTTTTTGCGCAGCTGCCACCGCTGTACCACACCCGCAGAAAGGATCAAGTACCGTGTCCCCCTCATTGGACGATGCATTAATGATACGTTCCAACAAAGCCTCGGGTTTCTGTGTAGGATAGCCCAAGGATTCAGAGCGGGAGGCGGGACGTATATCCGTCCAATCGTTTTGCAAGGGTACACCCGACATTTCGTCGAGGTAGCGTTTGTAGTTGGGCATGCCGTTTCCGTTGTAAACGATGCGCCCCTCGTTTTCCATCTCCACCATTCCACTCTTTGCGTATGCCCAGTACCTGCCATTGTATGGTGGAACTCCCTTATACTCCCGACCGGCAACAGGGTCGGCGTATTCGTCGGTTAAATCGGCTTCCCACGCACCGCCTTCTTTACGCTTTACACGCCATTCATAGCTGGTGTCACCACCCGGTTTTGCAGCGGTTAAGTCGCCCATGCGATAGCGGCGATTCGATCCTTCCTCGGTGAATTTGTAAAAATCGTCCATATACTCATCATCATACGCTGTGTATTGCCAGTTCCATTGCCAAGTATTGCTCTTGGTGTAGAAAAGGATCGTGTCACGCACATTGCCGTATTGGCGCCTCCCCTGCTTGGCGTCGTTATGCGCGCTCGTCCTGCGCCAGGCGATTTCATTACGGTAATTGCCGGTACCAAATACGGCATCGAGCAGCAGTTTCAGGTAATGGCTCGCTGTCGGGTCGCAGTGCAGATAGAGGCTGCCCGTAGATTTGAGGACTCGATGCAACTCTACCAAGCGAGGAGCCATCATCACCAGGTAGGCCATCATTGCGTTGCGGCCCACGAACTGGCGGAAAGACGCGATCATATCCTTGACCGCAGGCGGGACCGTGGGACTACCCATGATGTCTCGTTCGAAGACTAGCTCGGTTTCCTGCGTCCATTCCCACGTATCGGTGAACGCTTTAATCTGCGCCGGGGATTCTTCACCAGTTCGTTCACGGAACAGAACGTTGTAATTGGCGTTGGAGTTGAAAGGCGGGTCGAGATAGACCAAGTCGACGCTTTCGTCGGCGACATGAGCTCGCAGTATGTCGAGGTTGTCCCCGTAGAAGAGACAATTAGTGGTGGTTGCTCGGGTGGATACCATGATAAAAATCTCTAGTGCTGGGGGACCTCGGAATCGATGAATTCGATCAGATTGGCCATGCGCAGCGCGTGCGTCGGGGCAAGTTGTTGACGGATGGGATCAACCATGAGTAGCGCGCCTTCAAGGGTGTACGCGCCAAGAAGAGTTGGGGCTCCCTCACCTACAAATACCACGATGGTTGTTGTTTCCACACCTTCGACGCTGACCCGGGCTTCACCGATGGCGTCCTCTACGATGCTGCCGTCGGCCAGTTCCGATTGGATGCGCCGACGGGGTTCCACGCCCAATCGGGTCAGGAGAGCTGACGGCAAGCAGGTGTAGGTTGACCCGGTGTCGACCAGAGCGCTCCACCGATTCCGAACGGCTCCCGTCAGCGGAGAAAACCTCAATCTGGCAACTGAAGGTGCCCACGTCACGCGTCTTTCGCCGACGGGTATTCGGGCCGCCGTCGCTCGCGCAGCGCGGCCAGGCCTCTTTCACGTCGTCGCCGAAGAAACCCAGGGCCTCGGCCAGCAGGGAGTAGTCGAACGATGTGTGTCCGGCCTGGCGGAGCCATTGGTTCAGGGCGCGCTTGGTGAAGCGGATGGCCGGCTGCGGGCCGTCGGCCAGGCGGCGGGCGACGCGCATGGCGGTTTCCATCAGCTCGTCCCGGGGCACGGCCATGCTGACCAGCCCGATGCGCTCCGCCTCCTTGCCGTCGAGAAAGTCGCAGGTGAGCAGGTAATACTTGGCCTTGGCCATGCCGCACAGCAGGGCCAGATGATCGCCGCATGGTCGCCGGCGGCGACTCCCAGGCGGATGTGCCCGTCGGTGATGCGGGCGTCCTCGGCGGCGATGGAGATGTCGGCCATCAGGGCCACTGCCAGGCCCGCCCCCACGGCCACGCCGTTGATGGCGGAGATGACCGGCTTGTCCAGGTTCAGGATGTTGTAGACGATGTCGCCGGCTTCCTTGGTGTTCTGGGCGACGATGGCGGGGTTGTCGATGGCCTGCTCGATCATCTCGAAGTCGCCGCCGGCGGAGAATGCCTCGCCGGCCCCGGTGACCACGGCAACCCGCACTTCAGGGTCAGCGCCGATGTCCAGCCAGATCCGGCTCAGCTCGTTGTGCAGCCGGAAGTTGGTGGAGTTTAGGGTCTCGGGGCGATTCATCGTGAGCGTGATGATGCCGTCGGACTTTTCGATGAGCAGATGCTGGTATGAGGAGTAGTCGGTCATTGGAGGATTCTCGCAGGTCGGTAGTGATGGGTGTTCGGGTTATTCAACGGTGTCGCCGGGCGTCGGCTCGAAATCGGGTGGAAGGTCGAACGTTGGTCGTCCGTCTGAACGGTGACTGTGGGAGAGTATGGCCATCATCAGTTGGTAGTGGTTGCGCTGCATCTGGAGTTGCATATCCGCAACGGTTTTGGAAAGTTCGTTCAAAGAGGTTTGCAGGGCATCGGTTTTCTCGCTGAGGTTGGTCTGAAGGGCATCGGTTTTCTCGTTGAGAGAGGTTTGAAGGGCATCGGTTTTCTCGTTGAGAGAGGTTCGCAGGGCATCGGTTTTCTCGCTGAGAGAGGTTTGAAGGGCATCGGTTTTTTCGTTGAGCGATGTTCGCAGGACATCGGTTTTTCTCGTTGAGAGAGGTTTGAAGGGCATCGGTTTTTTCGTTGAGCGATGTTTGCAGGGCATCGGTTTTTTCGTTGAGCGATGTTTGCAGGACATCGGTTTTTTCGTTGAGCGATGTTTGCAGGACATCGGTTTTCTCGCTGAGCGATGTTCGGTTGGCTCCGACCTCGGAATCCAAGCGACCGATGTCCCGGAGGATGTGGCCCATGCGATTCCAAAGGGCGGCAATGGCGCCCAGCGTGAACAGGAGCACCGCGCCGTACACGATCTGCGGGACTAATTCTGCTGCCATATCTAGACCTCTCCAGTGACGTCAGGCGCCCATCCTACCAAACGACGTGCGCTTGCTGCAGGATAGCTAGTTCGGCCTCGTCCATGCCCAGCAGGCCGCAGAAGACCTCGCGGTTGTGCTCGCCCAGCTCGGGAGTCCAGCGCAGGGCATCCGTGGGCGTTTCCGAGAAACGCCAGGGCGGAGCCACCGCCCGCTGCTCGCCTTTTTCGGCATGGATGGTGGTGGGGAAAGCGTCACGTTCGGCCAGGTGCGGATCGGCCATCAGCTGGTCGGCGGACAGCGACGGGACCGCCGCCACGCCAACCGATTGCAGCAGGTCGCTGACTTCTCCAGCGGTGCGGAAAGCCGTCCAGTCGGACAGCCGCTGCTCCAGGGCGTCCTGGTTCTGCCAGCGCAGGAAGGCGTCGCCGTACTCGTCGGCGTCGGCCCATCCCGGGTTGCCCATTGCGTTTCTTGAGCGCGCGCCATTCTTTGTCGTCGGCGACCGCGATGGTCACCCACTGGTCCTCTCCCCGGCAGGGGAACACACCCGTGGGGGAGCCATGACCTCGTCGCGGTTGCCCATGCGCGGGGCATCGCGATCATTCATGGCGGTGTCCATCAGGCGTGGCCCATGAAGGCGGTGGCGATGTCCCGCACCGCGACGTCGGCGCGCTGCCCCACCTGATGGTTGCGGTGGGCGCACAGGGCGGCGACGGCTGAAAAGGCCGCCATCATGCCGCCGGTGTGGTCCATGGCGTGGCGCATCGACGGGCGGCCCGTCGGGATAGCCGGTGAGGTAGCCGGCGCCTCCCACCGCCGCAAACATTGGAGCGTATCAGCGTAGCTCGCCTTCGGGTCCGGTCTGCCCGTTGGAGGACAGCGACACCATGATGATGTCGGGCTTGATCTCTCGCAGTGCGGGGTAACCCAGTCCAGCCGGTCCATAACGCCGGGGCGGAAGTTTCCAGCGCCACGTGCCGAAATGTCGCACCAGGTCATGGGCCAACTCCGGCCCGGGGCTCCTTGAGGTTGAGGGTCACAGAGCGTTGCTGGCATTGACCTGCTCGAAGGACGACGGCGCTGCCGTACATGGCGTGCGGGCGGCGGGTGATGTCAGGCGCGCCGCCGATTCCACTTGATCACGTCGGCGCCCAGGACGCCAGGATCATGCCGGCCAAAGGGGCCGGCGGCGTGGACGGAGAAGTCCGCCACGCGCACGCCGGCGAGGGGAGCCGAGGAGTTGGTCATAATCGCCGCCTGAACGCTATGCGTTCGCCGAGCCGTTCTGGAATTCTCCTGATACTCCTGCAGCAGCGAAGGCAGGCGGTCGGGATCGGTTCGCGCCGCCGCGTTGAGCATCATCAGCATTCCCGAGCACTCTTTCGAGCCTCTTTCGCCCTTCTCCCGGGCTTCCGCGAGCGTCGCTTGCGTTCGCCAAGCAAAACATTTGACCCCCAATTCCGCCAGTACTCCCAGCGAAGAAACGAAGGCGCCCCACTCCCACCCCCAGCGATGATTCCTGTGGAGTGCTGTGCCAAGCCCAATTGTGACACCTACCCATAAGGTCAATATGTTGACGGCCAGATACCCAGATGATGAACTGGATATGCTGATAGCCGAGTGGGGATCTCCATCCTACTTCATTCACCGGCGGCGGTGAGTTATGTGCCGCCGCCGCCTGGGAAACCCGCTCACGATTAGTAGTACACCGCGCTGCCCGTCCCGCCGCCGGCAGCGATCAACTCGCCGGTGATCGCCCCGCCTGGCGGAGCCAGGAAGGCGGTCAGGTACCGATCTCCGAGGCGTCGACCATGCGGCAGATGTGTTGCCTCGGGCCGAGCCGGGAGAGAAGTCCTGCGCCTCGGCCTCTTCCGGTGAGACGCCAGCTGCTCGGCGCGGGAGGCCAGCAGCTCGGCGTGCGCTCGGTGCGGGTGGTGCCGGGATGGATGCAGTTGACGGGATGCCGAACTGACCCATCGCTGCGCGGCCAGGGTCTTGGTCATGTGCACCAGCGAGGTATGCGCGCGCCGCCGCTGAGGTTGCCGGCGTGCGTGCGTTGAGGCCGCTGATGTTGATGATGCGGCCAAGCCTGTGCTTTGAGCATCGGAATGGCGGCCCTGGAGCAGCGCAGCGCGCCCACGAACTTCACGTCGAAGTCGCTGAGGAGTTCCTCGTCGATCAGTCGGTCCTCAAATGGGGCGGTCGCCGACGGTGAGCGCCCGGAAGGGACGCGCTGTTGACCAGAATGTGCAGCCCGCCCAGCGTATCGGCGGCATCGTTGATAAACGCGGTCAACCTGTTCTCGGTTGGTGGCATCAAATGACATGGAATGGCGCGACGGCCGCGTGGTTTCGACGATCTCGGCGGCGGTCTGTTCCAGTCGGGCATGGAACGCGAGCCTGGCACCACGTCGGCGCCCTCGCGCGCCATTCCAGGGCAATCGCCTTGCCGCTACCGCGGCTCGCCCCACCCACAAATGCCAGTTTGCCTTCAAGTCCAAAATCCATAGGGAATAGCCTCCATTAGGATACGAACGCACTGGCAGAGGCGCGTCCGTTGAGATGATGGGATTATACATCGCAACAGGCCGAAGGCTGTGGACAGCCCAGCTACAACGGTCCCCATTCCGCCACACTGCGTTGATCGTGAAAACGATCCGCCGCAAAGTACCACAAACATCCTGGCTAGATCAGGACGGAGATCATCTGGAGTGGTGCTGTTTCACTTCGTCAGGATACTCGGGGCCAGATACTCGGGTTGAAGATGCGACTGGCACCTTCACATTACCTGAACCCGCATGCGCGGCGGGAGGAGCGCCAACCGTGGCCCAGCACGGCGTTGCGTTGCGTCGCGTTGCCGGAAACAGCCTGGCGGGAGATTACGATCGCGGCGGGCAGCCAGGGCCGCGCACCTATCGTTACCCTTAGCTCCAGCGGGGTGCGGTAACAAGTCGACACCAGCCTGGCGATTTCCTCTGGGCGGGTCTCGCCAGAACCCGGACGGCCGCGAACGCCGTGACTATCTGTCAACGCTTCCGAGTAACACCCGGTTGGTGATCCTCGCCCACGTGGGTGGTTCCCGTTGACGCATCGACACCGAGTCCGAGGCCGGGAACAGCGTCGTGCGGCTGGGCGATGTACGCAATCCGTGCTCGGGCTGGATGGCATCATTGCCGGGGCTGGCATCATTGCGCAGGATGGCATTATCACATTTCAATGTCACCTGCAATGGCGGGGCTTTCGTGGTGACGGCAGCAGGATGGGAAGCCGATGCCCCTGATCACGCGACCCCAGGTGTACCGAGCAGCCCCGTTATGCGCTACCACGGAGCGGTTCGGACCGGAGAGTTGCTGTTCTGGCTGGAAGGCATCCAACTGCGCAACGCACGGGCCATGATGCTGCCATGAGGAACGCGCGCCGCGAGCGTCGCACCTACCGGCATCCCACCATAACAACCTGTCGTTTTCATATTAGGGATTTGACTGAAAATATTTGCGGAGAAGCGAGTTGACATTTATAATACCGCCGATGAGATGACACGTTGAAGTTGATTGGATAACTAGGTTGAGATGCTGCTGACGATCGACATTGGCAACACGGCCGTGACCGTTGGGGTGTTCCGCAAAGGGAGTGCCACCGGGGGGAGCGAGAACGGAGCCAATCCGGCGGAGCGGCTGGCGACCACGCTGCGAGTGGCGACGGATGTCGCGGCGGCTGGCGGACGAATACGGGATCCTGCTGAAGAACCTGCTGGAGTTCCGGGGATCGCGAACGACGGACTTCACGGCAGCGTGTATCTGCTCGGTGGTGCCGCCGCTGACGGGGATGTTCGAGGACCTGTGCCGACGGTTCTTCGGGGTGACCCCGCTGCTGGTGACGTCGCAGATCGACCTGGGGATGCCCGTCCGTTATGACAACCCACGAGATGTGGGGGCGGATCGGATCGTGGACGCGGTGGCGGCGGTGGAGCTTTACGGCGCGCCAATGATCGTGGTGGACCTGGGCACGGCGACGGTGTTCGACGCGGTGTCCCGGGACCGGGAGTACCTGGCGGGGCCATCGCGCCGGGGATCAACCTGTCGGCGGACGCGCTGTACTACAACACGTCGCAGTTGCGGCGGGTGGAGCTGGTGGCGCCGGCGGAGGCCGTGGGGCGAACACGACGACGTCGTTGCAGTCGGGATCGTGCTGGGGTACGCGGGGCTGGTGGAGGCAATGGTCGGGCGGTTCAAGGCGGAGATCGGCGAGGACGCCAGGGTAGTGGGCACCGGCGGGCTGGTGACGGTGATCTCGGATCATGTGCCCGTGTTCGACGACATCAACCAGGAACTGACGCTGGTCGGGCTGGACATCATCTACCGGAAGAACGCGGCGGGGCTCCCCAGCTCCGGCGCATCGGCCGGCATGAGCCGGGCGGGCTGACATGGATTCCGCGCTGGCCGGCAAGAACATCGTGCTGGGGGTGACCGGGAGCATCGCCTGCTACAAGGCGCTGGACCTTGCCAGCAAACTCGTACAGGCTGGGGCCCACGTCGAAACGATCCTCAGCTACGGCGCGACACGTTCGTGACACCGCTGGCGTTCCGCAGCCTGACGCACCGGTCGGTGGTGACGGACACCTTCGACGCGGACTCGGAGCACAGTGTGGAGCACGTCGCGCTGGCGCGGTGGGCGGATATCGTCGTCATCGCTCCGGCGACGGTGCACTGCATCGCGAAGCTGGCCGGGGGCCTGCGGACGATCCGCTGACGACGACGGTGATCGCGACCGAGGCGCCCCTGCTGGTCGCGCCGGCCATGGACGCCAACATGTTCGAACCATCCGGCGACGCAAGAGAACATCACGCGGCTGCGCAGCCGGGGCGTTGTTCCTGGCCGGGCCGGCGCCGGGTCGGTTGGCGTCCCGGACTGATGGGAATAGGAAGGCTGGTGGAGCCGGCGGATCTCCTGGGGTACATCGCGGCGGCGCTGGGGAAGGACGGAGACTTCGCCGGACGGAAGTGGTGGTAGCGCCGGTGGACCCAGGAAGCGATCGACCCGGGTGCGGGTGATCACGAATCACTCCTCGGGACGGATGGATACGCCGTGGCCGAGGCGGCGCGGGACCGGGTGCGGAGGTGGTGCTGGTGACGGCGCCGACGGCGTTGCCGGATCCGCCGCTGGTGCGGACGATACGGGTGAAGTCGGCGCAGGACATGTGCGACGCGGTGCTGGCGGAGACGCCGATGTCGGACGCGCTGATCATGGCGGCGGCGGTGGCGGACTACCGGCCGTCGGTGATGGCAGAACAGAAGATAAAGAAGACGGCCGCGGACGAGATGTCCATCGACCTGGAGAAGACGACGGATATATTGGCGACGGCCAGAGGGAATTTTGTGCGGGTCGGGTTCTCAGCGGAAAGCGAGAACCTGGAGGCGAATGCCGCGGACAAGTGCGGCGCAAAGAGTTGACCTGATAGTGGCCAACGATATTACCGAAGAAGGCAGCGGGTTTGGCGTGGACACGAACCGGGTGGTTCTGATTGACCGCGAGATGGAAGTTGAAAGACTGCCATTGCTCACGAAATACGAAGTGGGCCACAAGATCCTGGACCGGGTATCCGCGCTGCTGAAGTCGTGAAGTTCGACTACAGTCTGGACAATCTCCGCGGCGACATCTTCGGAGGCCTGACCTGTACGGTAGTCGGCCTGCCGGTGGCGCTGGCATTCGGCGTGGCGTCCGGCCTGGGCCCGACCGCCGGCATGTATGGCGCGATAGCCGTCGGGTTCTTCGCGTCGTATTCGGCGGGACGCGGTCGCAGATATCGGTCCGACGGGGCCCATGGCAATCGCGATGGCGGTGATCGTAACCAGCCACGCGAACACCCTGGCGGAAGCGTTCACCATCGTGATGCTGGCCGGCTTTTTGCAGGCGGCGCTGGGCCTCGCCCGAATCGGACGGTTCGTGGCGTACACGCCGTACTCGGTGATTTCGGGGTTCATGACGGGGATCGGCGTGATCATCATGATCGTGCAGATCGCGCCGTTCCTGGGGTCGCCGGTGGCCGTGGGCGGCGTGATCGGCGCGGTCAATTCGCTGGAAAACGCGGTGACCAACGTCAACTTCCACGCGCTGGCGGTGGCGGCCGTGACGCTGGTGGTGGGAATCCTGTGGCCGCGGCCATTCCGAAGATCCTGCCGGCTCCGCTGGCGGCGATGATCGTGGGCTGTGCGCTGGGGATCCTGTGGCTGAACGACCTGCCGATCATCGGGGAGGTGCCGACCGGGTTGCCGGACCTGCAGTTCCCGGCGTTCTCGTGGGGTTCATCCTGACGCGCTGCAGCGGCGCTGGTACTGGCCCTGCTGGGATCCATCGACAGCCTGCTGACGTCACTGATCGCGGACTCGCTGACGCGAACGCGGCAACAACCCCACCGGAGCTGATCGGGCAGGGCATCGTCAACATGATTGCCGGGCTGGTCGGCTGACTGCCGGGAGCGGGAGCGACCCTGGGAACCGTGGTGAACTCCGTTCCGGCGGCAACACGCAACTGTCTGGCGCGATCCGCCGGGGGTGCTGCTGCGCTGGTGGCTGGGTCTGGGCCGGTACGTGTAGGCGATACCCCCACGCAGTGCTGCCGATCCTGATGAAGGTGGCTGGGACATCATGGACTGGCGTTCGTGAAGCGGGTACACCAACTTCCGCGGAGCACCTCTGGTGATGTGTGATAACCTTTGCGCTGACCGTGTTTCCTGGACCTGGTGACGCGATCGCCATCGTTTGAATCGCGTCGGGATGGCCAGCGCTACGGCCTGCTGGAGAGCAGGATCTGGACAGCGTCGTGTCCGTGCCGCTGCTGATCAGAGCTTCCTTTCGCTAGACCCGGACGCCGAGGACGCGACGAGTTTCTCTGCCGGGTGGGCTGTGCGCTGCGGCGATTTCTCCGTGGCGTCGTCGAGCACCCTGTGAGCACCATCGGGCAGACATTCAAGAGCACGAGTGGTGATATTCGACTTCACCGAGACCGCGTACATGGACGACAGCGCGTGCCATGTGGTGGAGCAGATGATCGCCGTAGCGCTGGACTCGATGAACACGGAACCTGTGATGGGAGCGTCCGGCCCCGTGGACGCGCACCTGCGGCGCTGACACGCTGCAACCCTCGTTCCGGCGGACCGCGTTCGTGAGCACGCGGGCGAGGCGCGGGACGTCGCGGAGAGGAGTACTGGGCGCGTAAGCGATCGCACACGGGTTGGCTCGCCTCGGTCGGCCGGCACATGGAGGCCGACATGCGTATCGGAGCGTTTTGTTGGAGCGTCGACGGCTGATCTGATGAGCCTGACGAACTGATCGGGCGGATCAAGCACGGGCGGAAGAGGACGGGTGTTTCGACAGCTTCTGGTGCCGTCACATTCGGCGCGAGGTTACGACCGCGTGACGTGCTGGCGTCTGGCGGAGTGCAGACCTCAGGCCGGATCGAACTCGTGTGTCTGCGTGGTGCCGACCTATCCCCGAGCATCCCGTTGCCATGGCGCTCACACGCACGACGCGTGACCACGGCGCGGCGAGCAACGGCGGTTCGTTGGGACTCGGGCCCATCGCACCGCCCGGCATTGAGGGAAGCTTTGGGCTGTCGTACGACCGGCCGGCGCTGCACGTGCGGAGAGTACCTGTCGGTGCTGCGTCCGCGATGGAGGAAGGTCGGTGCAATTCTCCGGCGAGTTCTACAAACGTGAACGCGGAACTGGACGTGCTGGACCGGCCAAAGTGTCGGTGCTGATTTCGGCGCGGGCCCACGCATGCTGCGGCTGGCCGGCGACGGGCTGACGGGACCATCACATGGATGCGGGGCCACGCACGATCCGCGAAACATCACGCCGCGTATCGGCAGTCGGGGAGGCCAGCGGACGGGACAGCCCGCGTGTGCGTGGGCCTGCCGACGACGGTGTGCGACGACGAGGCCACCGGCCGACGCCAGGTGCGGAGGCCTACGAACGATACGGGACGCTGGTGAACTACCGCCGGGGCTGACATCGAGGGCGTGGAAGGTCCGTCGGAGGTGGCGGTGATCGGCAACGAGGAGGCGACTCGCTGCGCCGTCAGCTGGAGGAGTTCGCCGCCGGCGGGGCCACCGACTTCATGGCCACAACATCTTCGCCGGCGAGGACGACGGCGAGACGGGGCCGCGGACCTACGCGGCGTGAAGGAGTTGGTGGGGAGGTCTGAGTACCAGCAACCCTTATACCGCGCCGGCGTCTGTGCGGAGCGTAAACGACACTCAGCGGGGTCACCGTGGACCGGCGGCCGCCGGGGTTGACCTCGATCAGCCGTGTCAGCTCCTCTTCCGAGTAGGACTGGCTGGCCCACTTTGACCCTGATCGGGGTGCGCGTCGTAGGCGTTCATGAGCGTTGAATCATATCTCGCTCACCACCGTGCCCGAGACCGCACTGCGCGATCTCGCCGGCTTGACGCCTTGCAGCTCCTACGTTACGACTGACGATGAACCGACCGGATGCATGGACGAGTGCGTTTGAACTGGGGCGGTGTACCTGCGCGCTGCGATCGAATTCTTGACCAGCGACGCTATCATCCCTCTTCCGACATCCGTCGAATCCGTCATCACAGCGACATCGATGCCGGCGATCTCTGGGCGCAGGAAGAGCCGAGTGCACGCACCAGGTCTGCTGCCCAGATCAGTAGCGTTGATTCTTGTGTCGGTCATAATTCGTATCGCTCAGTGTGGATCCGGATTGGTGTTCCGCGAATCCTGCAACGACAACAAATGCGCTCACTATATGCGGAATATATCCCTTATTGGCTACATGTATTCTCTTCGCACGAATCGTGGGCAGACAATACCCAGCATACGCCCAATCAGAGGTCATCGTTTTCTCGTCAATCGCATGTTTCCATTGCCGGAGGCGCCGTCATCGCATGGCTTCCTCTTGTTCTTTCGAGGGTGTTTTCCGGCGTCTACTGGCGACCCAATGGGACCCGGCAGCGCGGCGAGGCATGGCGAAACCGGGGCGAATGATCATCGCCCTAACGCATTCTTTGCGACCGCAGGTCGCCCGGCTAGCTGACGGCTTCCTTGAGCGTCGGATGGCCTCGATGTGCTGGTCGGGGCCCTTGAGACCGGCGCGCATGGTGTTGACTGAGAGTGGGTGGGCGCCGGCGTCGCTCCATTCGTCGGCCAGCTGTTCCAGTTCGTCGGGTTTGTTTCTGTCGGCCAGGGATGCGCGTCCTCGACGCCGATGCGAAGTGATCCGCCCGTAGCCCCGGGCCAGCTCGCGCAGTCTCTCCAGGCGTCGCGGGCCGCGCGTCGGCTGAACTGGGGGAACCATGCCATCGACACCGGCTTGCGGGCGATCGCGCCGCACGACCTGGGCGCGCCGCCGCCAGCCAGACGGGGATGGCCGCTGCACGGGCAGTGATTGATGCCGGCGTGGTGATGTCTTGTGGGAACGGCCTCGTAGTTCACGACCTCCTGGGTCCAGAGCAGACGCATGACCTCGACCTGCTCGGCGGAGCGGCGGCGTCCGCGGTTCGCCCAGTTTTCGCCCAACGCCTCGACACTCAACCTCGTTCCAGCCACGACGATGCCAGCGCAGGCGGCCGTGGTGAGGACGTCTACTCCGCAGTCTGCT